AGAACAATGATAAAACTCACTGACCAAATAAAGTTACTATCTGTTAAAATTACTTCCCTGACTAGTTATTAGATAGTTTAGGGCAATCAAATATATTATGCGTAACCTTTCCTGCTATTACTTTACAGCCTACACATCTATTAAACAATATTTTGCTTATAAATTTAATTATCATTATATATATATATACTTATTAATATTTTCAAGTAGATCACTTAGAATAACCCACTAATATTTTACCTTCTATATTCATTTGCAATTGAATGTGTTCCTTAGTTTTGATTATCAAATAAATTATTACCCCATTCGAATTATTTAAAGAGTATCGGTTTCTTTTCAACTCCCCCCCCCCATTTAAACTCAATCCAACACTGTAGTATCCAACTTATTCAAAACTATTAAGTTAACACAGTTAATGATTGCTTCACCAAAGTTCCTAATCCTATGCCCTAAACATATATTCATGATATGATGATACATAAACTAGTAACGAAATATTTATCAAATTTTAAGCAAATTTGAAAATCAACCGGATTGCTAACATAAATATTTTCAACTATAAATAATATACTTTTATTTTTGTAAGATATTTACTCTTCAATGAACTGGAACCATTTACAACAACAAGTGGAAACACACAAAAGAATCTAAAGTTAATAAATCAGTAAATAAAAGAAATGAATTATAAAAGTAATAGGACAATGGAATAACTGAAGTTTTATCCATTATTGTTGTTCTTATAATAATAATAATAATAATAATAATAATAATCAATTTTATGTTGTTTTTTCCGAAATTATTACCATTCGTTTTTGACAGTATGAAATTTTATTAATAATTTTTACAGGAATTTATGATATTTTATGTAGAAAAGCGATTAACAACACTATACAAATTCTGCCTACTGATATTATCTTGTCTGTCTTTTTTCGATTGTATATTATTGTACTACCACTACTACAATTGCTACCATCTATACACGTGTCTGTATGTCAGTGAGTGTGGATGTGCCCACATCTGCACATAATAGTTTGTCACTACGGTAATAAAAATTATCACCTGTTAACCAACTAGAAGAGGTGCAATAAAAAAAGTGTTAATAGTTAGGATAGATAGAAATAAAACAGATTTCAAGTTGATTTGTGTTTAAAATACTGTTTCATTAGTCATTTTAAAAAAAGTTTCTCAAACCAAATGGTATTACTTTAATTCATTATATCATTGAGTTCTAACAAAAGTTTGAAAATGGAATTAGTATCACAATTTGAAAAGAAAATTGTTGCAATAATTATGGAAAGAAAAGTCAATTGTAAAACTTAAAAATTATCTAATAGAATGTGCAAGAATAGAATGTAGGTTTTCTAAATGAATTGTGAAAATTTAAAAATTGAAAATGACAGTGGCTGATTTTATATACGATTTACAACAGTATCACCTAAGTGTCTGATTGTGGTCTATTTACTTATTACAAAGGATTCACCTGTAAAGAAGACATTGTACAACAATACACTAAGTAATTGATTAGCTTTCGTTCCTTCCTAAATTATCAAACAATTTTTGGAAATATCTATTAAAATAATCCAGTTCATAATTGGTAGACGGAAGTAAGACTATAGTGCTAGAACAGAAATGCCATATTCTCTAATAGTGCTTTCCAATATTAGAAAAATTGTAATTTAACGTGAAATTATCTAACTTGCAGCTAAATAACTAGGAGAATTTGGAAGTTTTACTTTTCCAAGTTTGCAGGCTCATAATCAACATTTTTCCTTGACCCCCAAATAGCATACTTTCTAAGAGATTAAATACTTATTCGGAATATAGTGTAATTATACCGCATATTTACAACCCATTTCAATAATTTATTCTCAATTCCATTCTATTTAGCGTCATATGCCATTTATTTATTATTAAAGGTTGAACTATAATTCCATTAAGGAAATTAACTTAACAATACAATACTTAAAAAGCTAATGACAGAACAATTAATTGATTGTCCATGTTTTTGTACAAGTTATACCACTTTGAGGCGTATGAAAAAAAGAACTTTATCTAAAGAAAAAGTTTTCTTTTCAATAATAAAAGCTGATGGTCAAAATCTGTTCGATCCCTCTCTGTATAATAATGATCTATGAATTTATGTGCATTTGATTATTAAACAAAAAATGTATTACTAGAAGGCTTAATGTGTTTTTAGTCTGTAAATTATTCACTTCCATGATAAATTCATAAAACCCTTAATGAAGCATAATAATATACACACATTCTTCTTCTTCTTCTTCTTCTTCTTGTTCACCACCCTCCATAAATTAGTCTAGGCAAACATGCATTTACAGACATACCCCTCTGTTACTCATAACCATCAAAGAACAAGTGGTTAACAAGACTAATCAAAATGTATAACACTATATATATATATGTACATGTATTTGAATATTGTTAGTAGAAAAGCAAACAAATAACTAAACATGAAGGTAATATTTTTTGACACGAGAAAAGTCTGTGCGTAAACTGTCTATTCGAACAGCTGTTGAATAAATATCAAATTTTCAGCAAAATAAAAGAGAGAAAGAGGAGTGATTTTACTTCAATATGAAATAGTAATTATTAATATTATTTTTGCTGATTATCGTTATTAACAGAATTGTTAGTAGTGGGGAATGATCACTATGTCTATAAGTTTAATATTATCTTATATTAGCGGACCAAGTGAATCTATTCTTACCAATATATATATATATATATATATATATATATATATATATATATATATATATATATATATATATATATATATATATATATATATATGGACACCAGACACTTAAACAAACAGTGACTGCATTTCTTTTTTTATTCTACATATGTATACTTTACCCAATGGTCTATAATCCTACATAATTTTGTGCCATATGCTGAGTATATCAAAGACCAAGAGAAACTATTAAAGAGAGAGAAAGAATGCAAAAACGGAAGCGAAACTGACAATCCTCTCGAGAATCTCGTTTTATTAGCTAGTTGCCTTCTGTCTCTTTCGGCTAATTTCTCCTCTGTTATTTATTATCATTTCGTATAATCAAATAAATACAACATCTAGAATCAAACACAAAAGACAAGAATCTTTAACTTCAGAATAGCTACTCAATTTTGCTTTTCTTGATGCTACTGACGATGATGATCTGAATGAGTCAAAATAACTATTGCTCATTTCGAGAAAAGTTAACGACAGACAAGACAAATGGATCATCTGTACTTGCTTTTTTGATCCAGTGTACGTTTTTCACGGTAATACAAATAGACCTTTTCCCATAAATCCGCCTTTTATATTCAAATAAATACATAATGAATTTTTTCCAGTTGTCTGATTAATCAAGTCAAACCGAATGGACATTAATCCAATAGTTTACAATGTGAATTTAACTTTTAAGTCATAAACAACTGCGTTTGTTTTAGTGAGAAAATTGAAATTTCGAGATTAGAAACGTTATAAACAATAAAATAAGAAAGATATATATATAATGACATAAAAACTCATATTCATATTCATAATATACTTTGTCAGTGGAAGATTAAATTCTGAATACTAATTTTTATTTAATACCTCAGTTTTAAGTGGTACATAGAAGTCAAAGTGATCAAGAATAAATAATATTGGTTTACAGACGACCTGAAAGTATTCTTTCTTTGCCTCAGCTCTTTGTTACTTTTTTAAAATAGATTAACTAATTTGTTAAGATAGATAAAGAAAAATTTACTGGAAAGAAACAAGTTAGTTACTTTTAAAATGATTATACCCGTTCACTTTCAGAATGGTGAATAGGCTTATAATCATCGAAGGAATACTGCTTAAGGAAAATCTATTACGTGTGTCTAAAATCATCAAAGAATATTCGTCCAGGACATTTACATCAATACATCTTTAAGAAAGTTAGTTTGATGTCACACTTCAGTTTCAAGCTAAAAACCTTGTTATTTCGAATGTTTATCTAGTTGAATCATATGTGTTTATCTAGAGATCATAGTAGCGTTGAGTAAAGATCAATTACTGACAATGTTCGCCTAGTCTTCATACATATAAAGAGCAAGTGACAAATCAAGAACATTATTCAATTTTTTTCCATAAGTAATAACGTTAAGAAAGAAGTAAATACTTCGATAACCAAAGCTTCTGTATTCGTACTAAATGCAATGTATTTCCAACTAATCTCCTCTCACTTAATCTAGAGGAAACACTTTATCACAAGCCCAAATTAGTTTGTCTTATGGTAATAATTAATAAAAGATCATCAGGTGTTTTTGAATGTTTTCTACCCTAAAAATAAATCTCTGGGACACCTTGAAGACAGAACTGGGAAAAAGAACCTACTTCGTGAGTCAACTAACTTGAGGAACAAAACAATAATAATAATAATAAAACATTTAAATGTTAGTTATGAATAAAAGTAGTCTGTCAGTTGACAGACAGTATAAAACAGTCTAGTTTATCATATATGATTTGAATAATACATGTTACCTTTATGTAGTTTAAAATGTATTGAGATTATTTAACCAAGGAGCTAATATGGTAGAATACTCAATATAATGTTACCCATTCACTTTGCAACCAGGCGCCTACTAAAACCAAGTCAGAATTCGCCTAATAGTTTGGTTCCTCATCTTTTGGCAGAACAATATACTTATAATCAAAAGTTTGTTTCTCAGTATGATTATGGCAAGTTTTTATCAGTTACTGTCATAGTTCACATGAAATAAAACTTATTGGGCAACTAATCAATTTATAAGTTTTACGCTACAGCCGAACACTTTTCCTTAGAATATTTTCTAAATGCAATCAAATCAACAACAAGAATGCAAAATATCGATATAAAATTGAAGTAGTCAAATTAATCCAGCTTATTTAAATGTTATTTTGATTTTTTAAAAATCATATCAAAATAATTCGAAAACTCATGAAACGATAAAAATCGAGACTTTTCTAAGTAGTATAAACTCAAACTTACAATATTTACTTCTTGGTACACGTGGCCCATCCACTGTCACTTTGATTGCTCTAGCGTAGAGAGCTACAATTGGTGGTGTGGTTTCAATGGTGATGGTTATATTGAAAGATTTACCTGTAAAAAGGAATAAAAATGTTATCCAGATTATATGTATATGTACATATATATTTGCTTAAGCTGGGAAGGTTATGCAGTTTTAAGGATTTTTTAAAAATCTGCTACTATAATTTGAGCTTATGACTACTCATTGTAGATTTCTGTAGTAGTACACTATCTCACTATACAGAAGTCTGGATATTACCTCGGATTGTTTGTTACTAACTTTGCTAAAATTTGTAGAGTATACCGGAAGATTTTGGAGAACATTTTTTGTCTGTTTTTTTTTCCCTAGTGAATCTAAAAATCTAGTACCTAATACTTTGCTTACTTATACGTTGTAAAATGGGCAAATAAGTTACTCTATTTATTATCTGTTGACTGATTAATAATAACTATTAGTATTTTGATTTTATTACCATCGATCTACAGAATTGAATCTCTTGTACTCCTAATCCAATATTCTTGAATTTTTAATAATAATACTGAATAGTACAGTGGAGACTGTAGATATGTAACTGATGTTTTTATCGAGCTCAAAATGATACCAGAATTGAATATATTCAGAACTTTGAAACCTGATTTTTAAAAGGTGAATTATTTTGTTACATTCAACTGCTCTATCAAACTTGTTTAAACAAGTTGTGTTGCATAAATAGCAAAGGCTAAATCATGTTTTTTTTTCATTATTCTTCATGATAAGGTATATCAGATGTTACTTTACTAAATGAATCACATTCTCTATTATAAACTAGTTGACTGTAAAATATCCATTCGTGATCTTATGCTTTAATGAATCAGCAAAATGTTTTAGTTTGATGTTTAAAAAAAAGAAACAATTATCTCCTGAACGATCTTTAAGTTTAGTTAAAGTATACAGTGATTTGTTTGAACAACTCAAAGGTCAGACTATTTACCAAGAATTCAGTAAAAAAAGTGGAATTATTACATAATTCTAAGTTGTTATTCATTGAGATGAAACACTACTTTCTGACTAAAATTAGTTGTTTCATGGAAACCAACTTGTGTATAATAAGAACAGCGTTAACTAATTTATTGGCAGAGTATCATGATGACATGACTGATTAGTCGTAAAGTATACCGATCCTTTATACTTACATTTTATTACTATATCAAAATGTGAATTCCTTGTTAGAAATAAAGAAGTATCACATTGAATACAGTCACCACCTAACCGTGGTAGCTACAGCTTTTGATAACATATGGGTTCGATTTATTTTCATCTTACCTGGAATGACCTATTCGTAATTAACTAGCGTATTCATTGTTTCACTTTTATTGAGTTACAAATTCCGCTAATAAACTTATAATTACTGACAGAAAATCTGACAGATTATCTACCTAGTTAGCAATATCATATGTAAGATAATTAAAAAAATAAGCAAGTGTATTATAGTTGACTTGTCAAAATACAATGATATGTCATCTATTCTAGTCACGTGTATCTGCATGTTACATTGTCTTTTATATTTAAATGAGTTCAGGTCATCTATGGGCAATTTAATATCATATGGAATCCATGTTTTATTTCCCATTTATCTTATTCTAAGTAAATAAATGCCATTAATTTGTGACGGAATAAACCATGAATTTCGGACTGAGTTGTTTTTTAAAAAAATATAAACTAAACAAAAAGCATACAGAGCGTAGAACCAATATATTCCTTTGGTCTAATTACTTTTTAACTGTCTACTTTTTGCATTAGTTGAATAGACTCACTATCGTTTTCTCCTATTCACGGATGAAATATATATTTTAAAAAAAAACCCAGAAACTTCACGGTAAGAGTAAAAAAAAAGCACTTAGGATAATATCAACTACCCTACTAGATTTAATGCAAGCAAACAGACAAATGAGCAGTTAATTTATTTTCACTATTATTTTCATTGTTCACTTTAGAAAAAAAAATTATGTTAGTGAAGGGAAGAAATGTATAAAATATCAGGATTAACAATATTAATTTATATCGCTTTTTCCCTCTATCAGTAGACGAAATAACCAAAAACTAATTAGACCAACAAAAATAAAATAATAATAAACGGACTAAACACTTGCTTAGTTCACTTATCGAATGGCGACACGTGTCCATATCATTGATACAGACTATTAGTTTAAATAGATAGAGACTTGTATATCATTCAAAGTCCACACATTCACCTGGACACAAATGAACACATAAGCTGATAATTTGTTATTGTGTTGTTTTTTTTCAGTATTTTATTGTCCAACTAACATTTTGATTGACAGCATCTTTTATTTAAAAAGATAATTAAATTTTGTTGGTTTCACTAGTTTAGTATTAACACATAAGTCATAGTGATTGTTCCATTTTCATTAACTCATTTATTATTCTGTTTTTAAGTATGTGAAAGAGTGTAATTTAACAGAATTTACTTTTATTAAAATTTTCCTGTAGGGTTATATGGTCAATGAACCACATGGGTTTTAAACACCAACTCAATGCCACACACACACACATGCACATACTTACATTGTGAACTAGCAGATGAAATCAATTAGAGCAAACGCAATTGTGATAATAAACAGCTTGCTTATCATAACTCCTTTTTACATGTCATTTTTTAAAACTAATTTCTGACAGGTTATAATAATTAGTAAAGTTATCTCCTGTCCTGTCATATTTTTTTAGTTTATTGTTTAATGGTTACCAAGACTACATTATGAACATGTTCGTGATCTCATCTAATTTACACATGAAATGAAATTGATAAGTTTCTTAAAAGAATTAATGTTTACTTGAGTTTTGTGACATCAATTAGATTCTACAAATCCGATACAAGTAGAATGGAATAGAATAGAAATAAGATTATTCAAGCTAGAGATAAATGAGGATTGTTATTGTCTTATTTTGAGAAATGTATTCTAATAACTTCAGCAATAATATCTTCATTCAATCCGTAAGTTAGCATTAGAGATAATAATTGATAAATACGTAGAGATAATCTGTAAATAGTATGGTCTCCATGATATGAGCAACTAAAAGGAGGTTTCTGAATCGAGTGGAGTAGTCGTATAAATATTCATAAGATTCAATAATAATCTATTTAGTATTATCACTTTGTTATGGAAACCGACTTAATATTTATCAGAAACAGTTAATTCAATATTTTGAAGGTATTTCTTTTCACTAATATGTTAATTTCTGCCAGAATATTGGAAGATTCCCTATTATTCTGTTTTGTATAATTATTTGATCTGAAATATTTACTAGTCTTCTGCTCTTTGAATTTTGTGTATCATAGTAGGTATACAATATTCACGAAGATCGGAAGAAGTACGTTATTTGATTATTTCAAAAATTAGTTTCACTAAAGGTTAATACTTTAATTAGTTCCTCTTGTTTAGTGGTATAATTTTCACAATATTTCCCGTTTTAATCTCTATGGTAAAGATTTGAACTTCATAAGGAACAAAGCAACAATCTACGAGAATAATAAACCTGATAATATTCATTTTGGCACCATATCAAACAATGGAATTAAATATGATACGCTGTTTCAACAATGCCTATTTAAACGTATAAAAGTTATGAAAAAATTTTCAGATCAACTCCTTTTTCTCATTGTCCTATTGAAATTTATAAAGCGGACTAATTGCTTTAAACAGAAAAGTTAATTTTTGCGACATTTCCCATGGGAACACTCTTAAATCTTGTTCCATATGTGAGCAAAATTGAACCAGTGAATTATTTTAAAGCACTGGTCAATAGATAAAATTTTAGAAACGAGTTTTAAGTAAATGTCCTTATGAATTTGGGTTTCTGTAAAATTGTGCAAACAAATACAGGCAAAAATGTTTTTCAGTATCTATTCAACTCATCTAGCCGTAAAATAGGATCTCATTGACATCTTGTTAATCAATTTTCAACTGAAACTGATGTTTAACTAATGTCTTCAAGTTTTTAAAATAAATTTGAGTAGAGAAACTGAAATTTTCAGAGAAAATGCAGTGGAGTAATATTTCTGATAGCTGACTATCAAATCATATTGCTGTGAAATTTCACTCTTGATTTTACCGATGTAATAATGTCGTTTGGATAATGCAATAAATATAAAGTTGGAACTAAAGTGACTACTAAAGTTTGTTACCTGATTATGACAATATAATTTAAGTGAAATCAATTAATTGCTTTGTTTCGATCAAAGAAAGTAAGGCAGAAACCAAATTGAGAATTGACTAGTGTGTTCACAGGTTAACAAATTAAGCTATGTCTAGCATAGCTCACAAACTAAATAATCATCGAAATACATCACTTTTAGGAGCAACAGACAGAATGAACTTCGGATCTTACAAACCCCACTAACAGCTGTTGATTGTATAATAAAAAAATACGATATACGGGAGTAACGTATAATAGTGAATGCTCAAGTAAGCGTTTCGTAACTGTTTTCTTCTGACTATTATCTATTGTTTTAAAAAAAATGCCAATATATTTCTTAACTAAACAGTAGATTATGTTTCACACAATCTGCTATTTTCCTACCACAATTGACTTTCGAAAACCACTTACAGAACATCCTCAGAAACGTGTCGAATTGAGAGCCAATGAACAAATTTCCCTCAATCTAAATGTTTTAATTACCAACGCTAAAACTTATGATTGGTTCATTTTAGAATATATTTCACGCGAAAGAGAAAATTTTCTACCCTATTGTCGATTTCTGTTATGTAATAAGAAACTTGTCATTTCATTTTACTAGAAGAAGTAAATTATTACTCAAAAAACCTCATGTCATGTACTGAGAATAAGATAATATTTATATAGTGAAAGTCGCTTAAAGACATTACTCGAAATATGAATAGAGTTTCCATCACAAAAATATACTTGAGGCCTAAAAGTAACTTGTCGACTAAATACCAACTATTCAACGTTTTATAAGAGCTTTTAAATGCCAGATTAATTCAAGTGACATTTTTGTAACCATATATTCTATTTGACGACGTTATAATTATTTAAAATACAGTTTTCTGATAAA